ACAAACAGAATAGAAATGACAATGTTGACACACGGTGTAACCAAATATGGAACAATTAAAATGGGAACTTAATTTGCTCTTCAAATTTTCACCTAAAACATAGTATTTAAAAAGAGCACAAAGGCTCCCTGACACTCAAGAGTTGTTCTACAGCAGGATGGGCTATCCTGTGGGGTGGCGAGTATCTTGGCCTTGTAAATATTCCAGCAGAGACTGGAATTACAACTCCGCAGAGTACAGCGGATTGGGGCACTTCTCCCAGGGTATCTGGCATAGGTCATTTCATTAATTCTTTAGAAGTGGTGTGCGTTTATTTTCAGTCCCATTATACAAATGGGGAAATTAAGGCCTAGAGAGACAAATCATTTCCCAAAGATGCCCCCATTAGTAAATAGCAAACTAACCTTAGCCCCAGGTCTCTTGGAGGTAGCATAATAGTGAGCCTTGGAATTATACTTTGGTCTCAAACTCAGCCTAACAGAATAAGTACTCAAAAAAGACCCATCTTTCCTAATCCTAGGTGAAGGTCCTACAGGTGGGCTGGTCACTAGTTGAGTTTGCATCCCTTTGAGCTTCCAGCAACCATGCAGTTGATAGGTGCTGGCTCTTGGTGGGGAACTCCACATGTAGTCTTCTATTCCATCATAGGTGTCTTGTAGGTCCTTCACCTAGGTCCTAGAAAGGTATCTCCTGGAATAGGGCCTCCCAGAGAGGTCGTGTGCATCTCCTTAGGTGAGAATGTTCTGGGCTGAGGACAGAATGAGGTCTGCTACACTCTTTCTGAAGAAATGTTCCTAGACCTTCTAAAAGCACTGACAAAAGGCATACGACCAAGAGGGTGATTAGATGACCCGCAAGACAAGACCTTGGGGATCAACTAAACATAGGTGATGGGTTTAACCCATAATTGAGCTTAGAACTCCACTGTGTGTTGTGTGTGCGTGTGTGTCCAGGAAGGGACAAGTAGAATCCCCTGAGCATTTACTCCCTTACAGGGTGGCTAAGAGTCAGAACCAACTTGACCTAACAAGAAACAACAGCCACCATCTGATGGGGAAAAGAAAAAAATGCTGGCAAGTTCTAAAGGACAACTCATATTTACAAATGCCTGCTGTCTCCCAACCCCCAACTGATATGCACCAGCACCTTTTTCTTCTTTTCTCCAAATGACCGTGATGTGTCCCACATTTCAATAGGCCTGTCTGATAGAAACGAGGTCACTGCTAACGTGTGTGCTGGCCCGTGTGGCACACCAATGGGAAAGAGAGTGTGGTGCGTTCTTATGCTTTCAAACTAAAAAGAAGTGGAAACGAAGGGGTCCGCTGTCTTTTCCTATGGTTGTTGAGGTTGCTCATCACTTCACCTGGCATTCTGTGGAACACACCTGCTGGAAACTGCAAACTCAAAGTGGAAAGCAGGGCATGGAGGTAGCAGATGCAAGAGGGAAAGGGAGGGCGAGGGGACTATCCAATTCATCAAGACACTGATGGTAGCAGACTTTTCTTCCACTTCCCCACCATTCCCTCACAGCCCTATCTTAAGTCATCAGGGATTTCCCAGAAGCCCCCAGGATGAAGCCAACTCCTCACCCAAAGCTGACCCTTCAGAGTTGCTGAAGCTGAGGTGGCCACCCACCCCTACTCCATGCCTGGAGTCCACATTCAGGCTTAGTGCTTTGGACAAGGGAGAAGACCAGGGCAAGAAAGGACTTGTTCAGATCCCAGAAGTGCTGGAGTTGGAAGTAAACCATGATATCCTAAGGCTGGGGTTATTTCCCACTCCCCTCAGCACTATCTCATGTGGAGGCCTGTGTGTAGTGTGTGTGGGTTGGGGGCATCTCCACCATCCCTTCCAACATTGCCCCCTTGAAAAAAAGTCAATACACTTCTCAATTTGGAGAAATCCATTGGATCCTGTGTGAGGAATGACAGGGGGAGGATCAGAATAATGCCTTTTCTTGTATTTGCAAAAAATCTCCCTAAGAATCTGGTATGAACTGTTATCTTCAAGGAAAACAAGATGGCAGAGTGGTCACAGTGAGAATTCTCTGGGGTCTGAAGACGGAACCACCTTAACATGTGCACCTATTCAAAATACTTACCATTTTAGAAAAATAATCTTTCCTGAAGCCCCCAACTGGGGAACAGGCTGCTGCCACCTCAGCCACACAGACGGTGGACCTTTAGGCAAAGCATGTACCCTCCCTAGGCCACATCCCCCACTGTAAACGATGAATGGACTAGGCAAGTATTCCCAAGGTCTCCTTCTGCTCCAAAGGGCTATGAGCTTTGTCTCCCCAGCCAGATTCTAAAATCCAGTGGAACACTGGTACATTTGGAGTCTTTTGAAACAAAAGTCCCTTCACAACCTTTGGCCCAGGAGGGTTTTGTTTGCTTTGCATCTCTTTCCTGAGAGCAAGGCTTCAGAACAAGCTGACCAGTACTGTTCCGTGAGCTAGGAAGACAGGAGACACGCAGAGGAGAGCCTGGTAGGAGACTTGATTTTCAGAGTCATACGGATCGGAGTTCAAATCCTAGGTTATTTGTTGCATGAACAAATATTGTATTCATCTATAAAATAAGAATTCCAATTTCATGAATACTACCTGGCACACAGAAGGCATACAGTGAATGTTGAGGTTTCTTCCTGTTTTATCAGAGCTGCTAGTTCAGTGGAACACAGTAACTTGCTGCTGCTACTGTCGTTAGGTGTCGAATCGGTGCCAACTCATAGCAAACCTATGCACAACAGAACCAAACTGCCCGGTCCTATGCCACCCTCACAACTGTTGCTAAGCTTAAGCCCACTGCTGATGCCACCGTGCCAATCAATCTCATTGGGAGTCTTCCTCTTTTTCGCTGACCCTCCACTTTACCAAGCATGATGTCCTTCTCCAGGGACTGGTCCCTCCTGATAACATGTCTGAAGTATGAGAGATGAAGTCTCGCCATCCTGGCTTCTAAGGGGCATTCTAGCTGTACTTCTTCCAACACAGAACCACCACCCTTTCAGTTAACTAGGCTGGGTTATTTTAGGTGCTTTGTTTTTAAGTTGGCTTTTCTTACACAAAACCATGACACATAGCCACGTTGGTTGATTCTCCAAGTGATTTTGTTACTGCAAATCCAAGACTGTGTGTAGTCAGCTCGTATCACTGGGGCAGAGTCAACTCACCTAACTTGCCAGCTCAGGACTTAAGCGGAGCTTATCTTTCATTTCTCTGCAGAAGAAAAAAAAAAAGGCCACTGGGCCTCTGGGAAATGTACTGGTAGGTGGGGGATCTGGGAGGAGGAGGGAGATGTGAAGGGAGAGGTGGAGTCAGCATTTCATAACCGCTGGCAGCTGGGGAGAGGGTGCTCTGGAAAAGCAGAAATGCAAGGGTAAGGGCTCTGGATGTTCTCTGGGACCCCAGGCACTTAAAAGTCTCTGAGAACCTTAGTTTCTTCCTCCATAAAAAGAGAGCTGAAAATATCTACATCATAGGTTAGTTATGATGAACACACCAGATACCCAGGGTATCCTAGGAATATTAAGTTTCTCCTTCCTCCCTTCTTCCCAGGAGAAACGAGGCAAAGACCGCTATAGAGAAGAAGACACCGTCACACGTTCACCTTGTACAAAATGGACCTGCAGCAATTTAATTGATGTAGAAAACACAGGATTGTCACCAGAGTTAGTTGTCACCCATGAGCTATTCCCAAAGCACTCTGGATAAGCCAGGTAACAAAATGGGCCTTTTCTGTAATGGTAAGCTGAAGTCTACAATGTATGAGAGGTTTACAACAAAAAGAAAGAACTGATTTGGATCCTAGTTTCTTATTCAAAATGAGTGTTGGGAAGGAAAGAGTTGTCTTCTATGCACTGGAGAGGCAAAAGCAACCCTATAGACAAGAAAAACTGGGGCATTTTATTTCAACAATGAGACAGACATCAGAAAACATCTCCTGCCAACCCTGAGGAGCCCACTGACGGAAGAGGGGCTGCAAGTTTTGCCAATATGGCAGTGACTCCAAATGATGCAAGATTTCTCATTGCCAAGGCCAAGGGCTGGCCCAGTCCTAAACCTCTTCTCTTCATCAGCAAGCTAGGGAGACCTCTTCCTAGGGGAACAATCCTGTCACCAGACTGGATGGGAGGGAAGGGGGTGGCCCAGGTGGAAAGCTAAGTTGGAATTCATTTTATGTAACCCAGGTGCTGGGAGCCAGGGAGAAAAGAGAAATGAAAACAAGGACCGATGAATAATCTCCAGGTATCCTACGGCTCTTTGGCTTCCTGGAGAAGTTGTGTGCTTGAGACCTGAGAGTCTGGCTGGGATGGTGGTTCTGTGGAGGAGAAAGCACAGTGCCAGTAGGGGGGTGGCACATGGCTCAGCTGCCTCAGCCCCGCCTCCAGCAACCTCCAGCAAGGAGATTCAACAGGTAAACTGAGTGCTCAAGAAAGGGAGCAGAAAAGAGGCCAAGGACTGATCTATGAAGCTGAGGCACTGGAAACGTGGTTTGGTCCCACATGAACCTGGCTGGCCACAGGAAATAGAATGCTGGGAGGCTAAGGACCAAACACAACATCTTCACAGGAGCCCCAAGCAGAACCCTACAGGTTCAAGGGACCAACATGGCTTCAAAGGAATTCCCTTGCCTTTCAAAGGCAACTCCCCGAATACCACCCTTCTTCCAAAAGCTCTCCCACATCGGCCTGCCCTCAGCTGCCCACCCACATCATCAGTGATATCACGTCAATGCAGAAGCTGCTGGCTCACCGAGTCCAAAAGAGTTCTGCCTGAGCTATGTGGTGTGTTTCCAGCCATGCCATGCTTCTCATGTTTCCAGCCATGCCATGCTTCTCGTGCTACAGCCCCAGGTGGTTCCTCCAAGTCCTGAGTGGACCCATCAGCAAGAGGCCCGGAGGATGGTTTGTGATGGGGATAAAGTGCAGGCAGCTCCGCAGGCACTTGGTCTGGGTGGAGGAGAGGCCAGGCTGGCCCACACCCACCGCTCAGGGCCTCAGTAGTGAAACACCTTCAGTTTGTTGTTCTCATCCAAACCCAGCTGCAGCAGGCCTGAGCTGGTGGTGGGCCTGGGCACCGAGAAGAGACGGCTGGCCCTGAGGTGAAGGAAAACTCTAGTCAGCCACGCACTTGTGGGGAATGGGTCTTCTTCAGACTCCCAGGGCACAGGCCACGGTCCCAGCCACTGAGGTCAGCCAGCAAGAAGGGACTAGAGTTTGGAAACCAGCTAAAAGGATACGACTTGGGGTCATTCTTGAAATGCTCTAGCCACTTTCGGTTTGCCTCAATCATTCCCTGGAAGTTGGTGTTGCCAGCCTCGGGGAGCTGGGAGTGGGGGCGCTGCAGGAGGCGGAGCTGCTCACTGGGAAAGAGAGGGGGAGAAGAGGGCGGGCCATACTGGAGGAAGGGGGTGTGCAGACAGCAGACCCACATATCCCGCTGCTAACATCTTCCTCTCCACATGCCAGCTGCAGCCTTGCTCAGGGTCTCTAGCAATTCAGAGCTTCCTCTACTGGCAAGATCTGACCTCTTCCCAGATCCAGGCTGCAGTCCCCTCTGGATGATGAGCATTGGCTCCCAAAAGGGAAGGGAGTGGGCATCCTCTGCCCTTTCCTAGGCTCCCTCACCTCCCGAATGGTCAGAGGAGTGTGGGGAGGGGGAGAGACTGAGGAGGAGGGAGGGTGAGGTGCATTTGGCAAGGAATAAGCTGAATAGGGGAGTAATAACAGGTTTAAATAATTGCCTGTCTGTCTCCCCCACAGGGCGTCCCTTTCATCCAGATGTTGCTCAGCAGGATTTAGGAAGAAGGGAATCGTATGACAAAGAAAAAGGCCAGGCTGCAGGGCCTGAGGGGTCAGCAGGAGGGACAGTGCTCAGGGATCCACCAGGGGACAGGTTTCTCCCCACAGGTGCACAGGGCAGCTTCCTCATGGAGTGCTGCCTCCATGGGACCTGGGTGGTGTGGACTTGACTTTTGAAGGGCAAATCGTGGACTGGAGGGCCACCTGAACTCTCAGGAGACTTCCCCTGAGGTCCCACCTGTACAGGGAGCAAGAGGCCCCGAGGGAGGCTTACCTGGCCGACACATAACCCAGCCTGTTCTCCAGCGGAGCAGGGCCACTGCTGAGGACTGGTACACCACCTGGCACAGCAGGAGGAAAGCCTTCTTCAGCCTACGGCCTCCCCATTCACCTGACACTATAAGGCGGTGCCTCCCCCACCTCCATAAAAAGCAAAAACTCCAAAACAAGAAAAGTTTCAGGAGTTGGCAGTGAAAGGCAGGAATTGTCCTATTGATTTGATTTCTTCAATCTAATCAGCTTTTTTATTTGGATTGATGGGAGAAGTGAGAAAATGACTGCTTTTGATGGTCTTTAAAAAAGCCTCAGCAGGGTGAGGAGGTCAGGAGAGGTTGCCTGGCCTAGGAGCAAGAGAAAGCCTTGCCGACAAGTCACAAGCAGAATTCCCAGCCAGAGACCTGGGTGAAGCCCAAGTCCATCCCATCCTCACTGGGTACCAGGGAGCAGATTACTTAACCTCTCCAAGTCTGTAAAGTGGGGTAAAGGATTACTGCCTCAGAGGTTCTTATAAAAATCTCTCAGACATCAAGTCAATTATTATAAGAACTGAAAATATTAAAATTAAAAATGCATATGCAATGCCTGGCCTGTGATACACAGCCCAAGGTGACAGAAGACAACAATGACCTTCCGGTTCTGCCAAGCACAAGATGCCACAGGCCAGACCTTGGTCAGCTCAGGCTCCAGATAAGCCATCCTGACCCCATGGAGACTGGCATGGACCATGATGACCCAGGGACCACGCCACAGGTGACGGGAGTAGGGGAAAGGCAGGGAGGAAAGGGACAAAAGAAGGAGTAGAAAACAGAGTCCTGGTGTGGTACTCAAGGGTCAGCACTGGGCTGCAAACCTCAAGGTCGGCAGTTTAAGCCGCTCCAAGGAAACCCTATGAATCAGAAATGATTCAGCGGCACTTACCAACAACAGGGAAGAAGAAAAGAAGGAAGAGAGTGGGAAGGCTTAGCTGAACTGCACACAGGCCCAGAAGGAGGCTTACTTGGAAAGTACTTGCGCCATTTCTCCACCAGGAAGTCGTCCACTGTTTGAGTCACTGAGGAGGAGAGTCTGGGGCCCAGCCCCGGGTCCCAGGCCCACTGGGTGGGCATGGGTGTCGTGGAGGCCGGGGCTGAGACCCTGGGCAGGGAGGGATAGGTGGGACCAAGGGCGCCCTTACAGGCCAGGGGAGAGAGGGGTGCAGGCGTGGAGGTGAAGAGCGGGGGTGGGGGCTGAGTGTTGAGGCTGCCCAGTATGCCCAGGACACCATTGAGCTCGCTGCTGATCCGCTGCAGGGAACTGCTCAAGTAGTGGATCTTGTTGGGGAAGCTGCGGTTTGGGGTCAGTTTGACTAAAAGGAAAGAGGTAGATGGTGGGGAAGGTCCCCAGGCCCAGCTGGCACAGTAGCACCCTACTGCTGGTTCCAGGCCCTTCCTGGTTCCTCTAGCCACCACCCCTCAGACCTGATGGGAGGAGGGCAGACTGGGAGCTGGCCAAAGGGAGAAGCCCTGGGGAGCAGGTGCACAACCTCCCAGGAGGTGGTAGGGAAGTGACATGTCTCGGCAGGGAGAGCACTAGCCCAGAGACCTCCAAGGGCTGAGGGAAGGGGCATGTACCTCCATTCCCGGAAGTCCCTTCACCTCTGTGGGTATGGTGATCCTCACCCCTGTTCTACTTCCCCACTGCTACACACTACTCACTCTGAGGCAGCGAGGAAGATTCAGAACTTTCACTACTCATGTCATCTATGTCACTAAGGTCAAAGGTCACCGCTTTCTTGACGGAAGCTCCTCTCAGAGTGTCCTCATCTGAGGCCTGATGGGCAGAAGGAACGGGTATTATGGACACTTCTTGTGTGCTTTCTGTCCCATTACCCTTATGATATGTGGGAACTAAGAACTAGGCCAATGGGTTAGTGACCTGAAGTTCCACAAAGCACCCTGGGAGAGGTATATTATGCAGGCTTCTCTGTGGAGGGAGAAGAGATTAAGAGAACTCAACTGCCTGACATACATGCAACAGGTCAGTCAGAGAGACCCCACTGTCCCCTCCCTGTAAGCTCACCCTGCAGTGTCTCCCCCCTGAGCTTCCTCCTGTCACATAAGCCTCAGACCTACAGAGAACAGTCCACAAAGGCTAGGGAAGCCTCTTGCCCATGGCTCTTCCCAACTCCCTGGTTCCACCTCTCCTTGGGTACTGTCAGCTCCCTGCTCCTACTTCTCTGGGGTACTATGACAGAGTAAGGGTCCTCAGGACCATTCAGCACAGACATCCAAACTCAGAACTGAAGCCACTGCAACCGTCACCAACCCAGACCCCAATCACAGAGGCCCAGTCCTGCTCCCACGGGACCAGAGAACGCAGCCAAATCCCAGGAGCAGGAGGAGAAGGACATGGACACCACAAGCTACGTGTCCCTAGAGCTGTACCTCTTCCCGAAGAGAGGACTCCAGCTGGTTCAGCTTCTCCTCTTTCTTCTTCAGCAGATCCTGACTCTTGCGCATTGCAGACTTCATCTCATCCAGGTGCCTGGTCTCCTGCAGAGAGGGAGAAATGTTGGGGGATGTGGGGGCTCACAACACACCACATAGATCTGAAACACAATACTTAACCTCTCAGTCTGGCTTCTCGTCTAGAAAAGAGAACTTCTACTTTGCAGAGGTTTTGAGAATTAAATGAGCGTATATGCTCCATGCTTCATACCGTGCTCACACCTAATAAATTTCCCAACGGTTGATGTTAACCAAATGATGGTTATTATTATTCCTGTTCCAACTAGCATGACTAGCATCATCATCCTCATCATGAGGGATTAAGCAGAGCAATATCAGGTCCTGGGAGAGAAAAAGCAGTAGCATTTGTATACCAGCCTCTTGTCCTCCTGCTGCCTCCAAGCCAGCCACAGGGGCCAGCACCCTCATCAGCTCTGGGCATCTGAATTCTAAGGGACTGGACATGATTCAAGAGAACCTACAAGGCCAAGATCCTCCAACAGAATAAAGACTTACGATCCTAATAAATAATAATCATGGAGTCTGCCTTTTTATTGCAAATTAGGTTATTAGGTCTAAGGGTCAGGAATTAATTCGAGCAGAGAAACAACTCAGTGGATTATTTCTGGGTGGATTGAAAAGGTTTTCATTGATGAATGGATTCTTCAGTGTAATGGAGGCAAAGCACTGGATTGGAAACTTGACAGACCTCAGCTGTACTCTTCACCTAGCAGACGGAAATACTACGCTGCTCCGTACAGGGCATTCGGTTACTGTCAGGATCAAGTGAGGTACAATCACAGAAAGTGCCCTGCACACTGTACACTGGAATCCCACCCTCACAGCGACATCCTACATCACCAAAGACAACGCGTGTCTGAGGACCCAGGGCCCCATGTGATCATCTCAGGAAGTCCCGCAGGCCTTCTCCCACCCCGTCCAGGGCTGCAGTCTCCCGCAAAAGTTGCTGACCTCCTCCAGGTTCTTGCGTACATCTTCCGGAACCTTGGTGCCTGGTGGGTCTTTGGCTGCCTCGGGAGCACTGGTCAGTTCATGGCGCCAGTGCTGTTGGGCAGCCTTCAAAGCTGTCTGCCGCCTCCGCATGGAGCGTGTCTGCCGCACCAGGAACTCCTTGGCACTACGGAGGGCTATCCCCTCGGCAGAGAGGTAGTGCCGAACACTGTGGGAGGGCAGGCCAAGGCAGAGGAGTTGGAGACCGACTCTAGCAAGCCCTTTCCCAGCAGATACCCACCCTGTGTGGGGACAGGAGAAGCTGGAGTAGGCAGAGTGTCGCTGGGCAGCGCTCACTGTTTAAGACCTGCAGCTTGAGGAGACCCTGAAAGCGATCACACCTAAGGTCGTCACATGCCCATCAATCTGACCCTCAGCCAGAGGTCAGCAGACAGCAGCATGCTAGTTAGGTACCACAGTGGGCAGCTTTGTGACTGGCCAAAGAAGATCCCTCAGACTCCCCAGGCCCCTCTCCCTGAACCAAGCCCCACTAGTGATTGCTATCACCTCATGTCAGCTACCCCAGCTCTGGGTTGGAGCATTCTCTAATCCCAAATCAATCTGCTATCAGAACTCACCTGTCCAAGGACAAGTCGGTCTCTTCCTTGCTCTGAGAGAGAGAAGAGGATACCTCTTTGGTCTGGTTCTAGGGACATATGGCAGAAAAGACCCACTGAATGCAGCAAACACATTCGAAAGCAAAAGCCTGTAGGCTCAACAGACCCCAAAGCCCCTCCCAGTGGCCTAAATCCAGAAATGCCCCTGCCCACTGCTGGATACTGTTCTCTTAGAAATATCATATGGCTGGCAGAGGTGGAAGGGCTGGGAATTACAAGAACAGGGAGGACAAGGGCCTGGACAACAGGACCAGCCTGGCCACCCCCTCCTGGTCCCCTGCCCCAGCCCCAGGCCAGCCACACCCTGAGATGCTCACTGTGCCAAGGGATTTCCTCAGGTCCTCTATGTGGAGATCCGACTCAAAGCGTGGAGAAGCATTACTCTCCTTGACTGCCAGTTGATTCAACAAGTCCTGCTTCTTCTCAACTGCAGCCTCCAGGTCACTGTAGGGGGACAGGGTCACATGATGGAACAGGCCTGACAGCACACTGCTGGGATGCCTGGGGTGGGCTTCAAGCCCTGGTCTCAGGTCGAGAGCAGAACCCAGCCCAACCTCTCACTCTTGTCAAAGTCCCTAGGTGGGGCAGATCATGAGTGCTAAGACCAGTTTTTCAGTCTCTTAACACCCCTCAAACCAAAACATCCAAACCTACTGCTGTCAAGGCACTGCCAGAGTCCATTCTGACTCAAGGTGACCCTAAAGACAAAGGAGAGTGTCCCACAGGGTGTCCAAGGAAGCTTTCTCCCATGGAGCTGTTGGTGGAATCACACTGCCTGCTGTGGGTTAGCAGCCGAGTGCTTTAACAGTGTACCACATCCCAACCCACATGGCTGTCTAGGTGACAGGACAGAGGAGAACTGCTGGTCCGTGCGTTTCCGAGACTGTAAATCTTTACCGGAGCAGACAGTTTCATTTTTCTCCTGTGTAGCAGCTGATGGGTTTGAACCACCAACCTTGCCTTTAGCAGCCCAACCTGTACACCACCAGGGCTCCCTTTAACACACCCCTGAGCCCCGATCCAATGTAGCAGACACAAGCCCTCCTGCCTGGCCCCGAGTCAGGGCATCCATCGGGTGGGCCTGTGAGCAGCAGTGAGCAGGTGGCGGGGCGCACCTGAGTCGTTCCTGCAGCCTCTGACTCTGAGATTGCAGCAGCTCCACCTGGGCCTCCAGCTCCAACCTGTGCACCTGAAGCTCATCAAGAACTCGCCGGAGCTGCCGGTTTGACTCCAACAGCCGGCTGTGAGCCTTCTTTGCCTCCTCCAGGTGCTGGTGGGTGGCTGTGGCTTCCTGGGCCCAGAAGCAGAGAGAGCTATGGTGAGGTGCAGGCAGGGCACAGGGCAGCCCAGAGAGACAGGGCTTTGAAAGGGTGGGACTCAGACCCACTGCAATCAGTTTCTGATAGAGGAGGTCTGCAGGCTGCTCTCCTCCCCCAGCACCCCACCCCTCTCCCTGAGGTAAGTTCCACAGAGAGGTCCTATTTGGAGACTATCGGCCAGTGCCCTAGACAGATTCGGTAAGCAAAAGTGGGATGAGGGCAGAAGCGGAAGTAGGGGGGAAGACCAAGGAGGCCAAGAGTGGCAGACAAACCTCACTCTCCAGAGCCACCTGTTTCTGCGTGTCCAGGAGCTGCTGCTTCTCCCTACGGGCAGTCTCCTCCTGTTGGGGAGGACCTGTGGCAGTCTCCAGGCCCCAGGTCTGAAGGGCAGGAAAGGCTGCCCTCTCCTGGACAGCTGACTCCAAAGCCAAGGACACCTGTAGACCCTGCTAGTCTTCACCCACGCCCTCACCTGGACGTCCAGCTGAGCCAATCTGGCCTTGATAGCCTTAGTTCTGCTTTCAAGTTCCACCTCTAAATCCTGGAGTTTCCTTTCCTACAGAGACACGTAGGTGGAGGAAAAGGGAGCAAAAGGAGAAAGGGTGCAAGGCATTCACTGAGGAGGCAAGGAAGGGTTTCTGTGTCCACCGTACGGCACCGTGACCTCCAATCTGTGCTCAGGCTTCCTCCCAATCTTCCCCTCAAACTTCCCAGGAGAACACCAGGCCCTATGTATCACCAGCAGGCGCAAGGACCAGCCAAGATGCCAACCCCAAGTCCTTACTAGGGGCCGGCCTCCTTTTCTGACACAGGGGATGGTCTCTGCGCTAGAAAATACAGGCGCAAAGATGCCTAGCCCAGGGAGGGCTAGTGAGAGACCCCCATTCCGTCCTGCTGTGTGGAGATGAATGAGACCCCTCCCTGGCCCAATGTTGGCCAGGGTCCCTCACCTGCTCCCGGTGCCGGCGCTGCAAGTCCTCGAGCTGCTTGTCCTGCTCCTGCCTTGTGGTCACCAGCTCGCGTTCGTGGGCACTACGCAGGCGCTCCAGCTCTCCAGTCAGGTGCCCTAGGAGTTCACTCCGCTGCTTCCGCTCCTGCCAAGGCAGGGGGGCTGCTGGTGACAAACAGTGGGCCCCTCAGGCCCCTGAAACCACAGTTCTATCTGCTGCACCCATGGGCCAACAAGATGGGGGAAACCAGCAGCATCCTCAGACCAGCACTGCAAGAGGGCAGTCCTCTCCCTGAGAGAGCCAGCACCCCTCTCTGCAGTTGAAGCAGACATCAGTCAGGTGTCATGAGGAAGTTTCCCTCTGGGAATCTGACTCTCCTGTTGTTCCATCATGTACAATTTGTCCTCCTTAGGGGAAGAGAGGTCATTAATAAGTCATGACCACTAATCTTCAGCAAGGTCACAATTGGTTTGGGTAGGAATTGAACTGAATTTCATCACAGGCCAGTTATTTCTGTCCTGGGGAAGACTGTAGAAAGAGCCTGGGTTTCTAACCCTGTTACTGGAACATCAGCCTAAATTCCCAGCACAGACTTGGCTGGCAGTAAAGTCAGCCCCTTCCACTCACTCACTGGTCACCCCCAATGTGAGCTAGCCAAGTCAGCTGGGGCCTACTCCACACAAGTAACTGAAGCTTCAAGGGCTTCGAGAGTGCAGGTAATATCTAAGTATTGTTTGGCTTTTACTAGTCTATTTCTTGTTGTGTTGGGTCTGACTCATAGTGACCCTTATAGGGTTTCCAAGGAGTGGCTGGTAGATGTGAGCCACCAACCTTGTGGTTAGCAGTCCAGTGCTTATCCTACAGCGCCACACCAAGACTCCAGTCTATTTCTTGGTGCCCTGACATTTCTGTTAATACCAGTGGCATGTTCCTGTTGTGGTAAGAACCGCAGGCTCTAGAGCCAGACAGCCTGGACTTAAATCCTAGTTCCTGTACTCTGTAGCCAGGTGTGGCCTTGGGAAAGTTTGCGAACGCCCTCCAAGTCTCAGTTTCCTCACCTTTTCAGTGGTGATCATAGCAGTGCCTACCACCTAAGGCTGTGTGAAGACTGAATGAGGTCATACATATAAAAGAGCTAAGAACTGTGCAGCTCACAGACAGTAAGAGCTGATGATAGATGATAGATAGATAGATAGATAGATAGATAGATAGATAGATAGATAGATAGACAGATAGACAGATAGATAGATAGATATAGATTGGCTATGATTGTTGGATCCACAACAACAGTCAAGGAAGCAGCAGCAGTCAAGAAATCAAATGAAGTATTACATTAGGCAAATCTGCTGTACAAGACCTCTTTCTTTAAAGAGCACAGATGTCACTTGAAGACTAGGGTGAGCCTGACCCAAGGCATGATATTTTCAGTCACCTCATATGCATATGAATGCTGGATAATGAATAAGAAAGTGCACAGAGGAATCAATGCATTTAAACTATGTTGTTAGTGAAGAGTATGGATTGCCGGAAGAACACATAAATCTGTTTTGTAAGAAGTACAGCTAGAACATTCCTTAGAAGTGAGGATGTGAGACTTTGTCTCTGGTACTTTGGATATATTATCAGGAGGAACCAGTGCCTGGAGAAGGACATCATGCTTGGAAAAGTGGAGGGTCACTGAAAAAGAGGAAGACTCCCAACAAAATGGACTGGCACAATGGCAGCAGCAATGGGTTAAACACGACAATTGTGAAGCTGGTGCAGGACCAGGCAGTGTTTGGTTCTGTTGTGTGTAGGGTCGCTATGAGTAGGACCCAGCTCGATGGCACCTAACAAACAATGACTGTCATTAAAAGAATCGAAAGGAGAGCCACCGCTCCTAAGGGGGAGGTTTTCCACTGTTTGAGAGGAGAGGCAGGGAAGGCGCTCCCCACCGCACAGTCTGGGAAAGTCTCCACTCTCCCTGACCCTCTCCCCTGCCCTCCCAGCCCACTAGGATGGACGCCTGCTGGGGAGAAGGGTATGGACAGTCACCTCAGCCTCATACTGCTCTCTGGTCTTGGCCAGTATCTGCTGGTGCTCCTCCTTCATCTTGTCCAGCCTCCTCTCGTGCTCCCGTTCCACCTCCTGACGCTTCTCTCTCAAAAGGCTACTGAGCTGCAGGGCACACGACACACAGGCTCGAGGGGCATACAGGCTCGAGGGTGGACCAGCACGTGGGACTCATGCGCCATGTAACATGCACACACCTCCCCAACACCCCCTGGAGTACTACCATAGACGCATCCTACCATATATATAGCACATCTGCCCCCAACACCCAGCCCCACTCTCCACCCACCCCACACACACAGTGTCACAGAGGTGAAGTCCCCAGCCTGAGGGAACTGAAGCATCAGAATGGAGCCCAGGTTCTAAGCCCCTCTGAGGCGTCCAGAGCAAACTGAAGGGCACAGGCCAGATGGGCAGGCAGCCCAGAAGAGTCTATGCGAGTACTCGCAATGCTAAAGCAGCAGACCTTCATTCACCTCTTGCTCATACTCCATCACTTGGTAAACCTTCTGTTGTGCTCTCTGCTCCACCCGCCCGAGGCCCTCCTGCAGCTGGGCAGCCTCTTTCCGCTGAGCTTCTTCCATCTTCTTCTGGAGGCTGGAAACCACCTGAGGCCCCGGCACAGGGGAGTGGGACCCCCGGTGAGCACCGGAGAGCTGCCAGGGGGCACTCACTTCCCAGAGACCTAGCATCCAGGCCCTGGAGAGTGAGGGAGGCTCCCTCCCTAGGGGCCAGGGATGGGGGTGAGCGCTTCTACCAACCAGCCCAGAGAGGGTCTTGAGGCTCCCACTCAGTGACCAGGAAGTCCAGGCTCTACCTGGTGGGGACAGGGCCAGCTCTGTCTCACCTCTCTGTGCTGGGCCTCCAAGGAGGAACGGAGCCTCTCCAGCTCAGCACTATGTTCCCTCTCCAGCGTGACCACAGCCTGAGGAGCAAGAAAGGGCCCATGAAAGGGGCAGGGCAGGGAGGGCTGGCCATGGACTGACCATGGGGGAAGAAGAGTCAGGAGGACCATCCCCAGCCCCCCACGTTGAGCTAAGTGACAGATGGAATCATGAGCACATCTTTGTTCCTCTGGGATAATTCAGTCCCTGAGGTCTGCAACTGGTACGTGAACAAGAACATGAAGCCAGAGGTGAAGGGCAGTAAGCCGCAGGTCACTAGTCCCACCCTCAGGGCTGACCCAGGCATACACAAAGACTCTCAGGACTATAAGACCCAATGCAGAGCAAGGTGAAGGTTTCAACTCAGCCTCCTCAAGTATTTGCAGTACAATGCAGTTTTCTCTGTGAGTTGCTGTGTTTTATCGGCTTCATCTGATAGCTGAAGCATCTAAGAAAACCTCCACCCGTCCCCGCAAAAATAAAAAAGTTCTAGTGAACTGCAGACAAACCAAGAGATTGGAGGGAGAGGGAATGGGACAACAGGGAAAAAAAGAAAAGAAACCTCTTCTAAATGTTTTCTCTGAGACAAGAAAGAGAAATGGAAAGTCAACTCAGGTGCATCCTTGTCCTGAGACCTCTCTTCTGGTTTCAGTTCTCTGTTATAACATCTTCCCAAATCCCTTTGTCCTTTAAACCTCAGATGGCTCCACCACCACAGGCTATATCAGCAACTGCTGCCAGCCCAGACCAGCCCAAGAAGGGACATCCTTTACTCTGTCAGGGAGACCAGGGCTGGCATCTCCCTGAAGCCAGTTAGGTTTGTGGAGTACCGGGTCCCAGACAGTCAGCACGCAGTCTCCTGTGCCTATCTGTGCCTGGCTTCAAACCCTGCACACCTGAGGCTGGCCCCAGCCTCTTCCTAGGCATCAGTCCCTGCCCAGGTGGCTGAGAGGCACGATAGAGCCCAACTTGCTCACATCTCTCCTCTCCCCCTCCAGCTGCTCCCTCAGCTGCTGCAGAGCCTTCTCCTTGTCAGCTCTCAGGGCCGCCTGCTCTCTCTTCTCTGAAGCCTCCATCTCCTCCTTGAGTTGCTCCAGCATTTGTCTGTTTTTCTGTTCCAAGCTGACCCTCTCGGCCTTCTGTAGAGCCTCCAACTCCTCTCTCAGCCTCTGCAGAGAAGCCTCTTGCTCAGCCCTGGGAAGATGGAAAGGAAGGGATGGGCCCATGCACTTGGGGGTCAACCCCTCAGAGCTGGGCAGTTCACAGGACACACTCAAACCTCATTCGATCTCCATCTGCTTGTGCATTTGACTGGACCTGGGTTCGGAGCTGGGACAGCTTCTGTCTTTCCTCTTCTCTCAACCGAGCCTCCTCCTCCTCAGTGACTTTCTGCAGCTGCTCTTTCAGGGCACTGGAGGGAAAGGAGAGGCGAGTTTATTTGAAGGCCCACAGATGTCTTCCTCTTTTAGTCATGATCCCTGGCTCTCAGGCTCCATTAGCCCTGTAGCCTATCTATGAAACACTCTCACTCATAAAGATGGATCTCGCCTCAGTCTCTGAGACTATGCTGCCTAGCATAATTGACCAAGGTAAAGGAGAGGTCATGAACCCCACCTGTACCCTTTGCCACAGGAAGCGGCTTGCAGGCTACTTGACCCCAGAACAACATTTCTTCCAAAGGCTGCCCTTTGCCTACATTCACCTCAACATGGTAACCATTCAAGCACTGATATAGTCTGTTTCCATATGCTTCCACTCCCCACGAACAAATGCCATTCTAGCCACATCAGAAGAGTCTCCATCTCCAAATCACATTCTTCCATGCCTCTTGGCCTTTGTTTGTGTTGGTTCCTCTGCCTATAATTACCTTTTGTGCCTGGTGAACATGTTCATCACTCAACACCCAGTTCAAATGTCACTTCCTCTCTAGGAAGTCTTTCCAACTCCCTCCAGGCAGGTCAGTTAGCCTTTCCTTTCCTATCGCACTTGTACGTGGACTTCTCTTACCCATACTGCCCTGTACTGAGCAATACATTGCATCATAATTAATCTGGTGTAGGTCTGTTGTCTTTGTCAAGTCTGGAAGCTTCTCCAGAGAAAGAATATTATCTTAAAGCATGGCATATCCCAGGGGCTGAATATAGCAATTGATCAAGCAGGTGTTGAACAGATGTTTGTTGAATTCAAACAGCATCACCCAGCCCCAAACTATAAGAAACCTTGACTCTATATGTTGCTGTTGTTAAGTGCCACAGAATCAGTTATGACTCATAGTGATCCTCAATAGGGTTTCCAATGAGCAGCTGGTAGGTTTGAACTGCTGACCTTGCAGTTAGCAGTCCATGAAAGTTATGCTGTTATTGCAGGAGTCCTGCTGTGGTGCTTAAGCACTGGACTGCTAACCACAAAGTCGGCAATTCAAACCCACCAGTTGCTCCTTGGAAACCCTTGGAAACAGGATCAGTCACTATGAGTCAGAACTGACTTGACAGCACTTAATAACAACAACACTGCTGATAAGTGACATCAAGTCAGTTTCAACTCATGGCGATCCCCTGTGACAGAGAAGAGCGGCCCCTTCGGGTTTTCTACAAGTCTTGGTGTAGTGCTATAGGATAAGCACGGGACTGCTAAGCACAAGGTCAATAGTTCAAACCCACCAGCAGCTCCTAGGAAACCTTATACAGGGTCACCCTGAGTTGGAACCAACTTTACAGCATTTAACAACCAACCAATCCTTGTGGGAGCAGACCAGCATGTCTCTCTCTCACAGGGTTGCTGGGTGGGTTCTAATAGTCAACTTTTCAGTGAGCAGCTGGGCACTACCAGGGCTCCTACAGTCCAGCAAAAGTGACCATCTCACCCCACACTGACACCCCCAATGCTTACACAAACCGTGTTGTTACCCAGTCCTCACGCCACCAAGAGCTGTGTGCTGCCCCTTCAGAGAACTCAAACCTAACACAACATGACCCGGAAGAGAATTTCTTCGAAAAGGAAGGTACAAAAAGAATTTCTCTACTACTCTTAGAAGTTTTGTCTAAGAAGAGAAGATGCAGCCTTGAGTTAAACTGCCAAGTAAATGAAGTGTGCTCACCTTTCTCATCCTTGGACTGTAGAGATTGTTTATTACCTCCTCAATATCCATGCTCCCTGTTTTCCTTACTAACAGCACCCTGATTTTATTCTACTGGATAAATGGGTCCAGCAAAGGGACTACATTTCCAAATCTCCTTTGCAACTAGGGTTAATTACTGAGATATGAGCAGAAGCTAATGGGCAACGTTTTCAGGAAATCTCCTTTAAAAGAGACCGAGCTGAAAGGTACCTCTTTTGTACCCTGCCCCTAGTCTTCCTGTCTGGAGATAGACTCGATGGCTGGAGCTCCTGCAACTATTCTAGACCATATAGAAAACCTGCATTAGAGATGGCAGAGCAGACAGGGGACCCTATTGAGTCTGTGGTGCCACTATACCGTCCCTGGACTGTCTTTTTCTTTAATAAAAATAAATATCTAACTTTTTTTTATATACATACACACACAATCATATTACACAGGCCCAACCTAGGTTAGGTGGCTTATCTGAGGCCAGCTACAGTGAAATGGAAAGTTCTAGCTACTGGTCAAGATCACCTCAAAATCTATGTGATCCTTACCATCTCATGGGATTCCAACAGGGCAATGACTCCCAAACAAAGCTCCTTCCTTAGAGGCTAGTGAAGTGGTTCAGAAAGTAGGTTCCATGGTCATCTAAGATACAACTATTGATCTCTACTCATCCAGAGCAAAAGGAAAAGGAAACCAAAGGCTGTCAGAGTCGTCTACATGAACCACACCAGCCTCATCTACCCTGAGAACAGAAGAACTAGACGGTGCCCTGCTATTACTAACCATTCTGACCAGGGCCACAACAGATGCTCCCTGATAGATGGAAATAAGGAACAGGACTTCAAATTCCTTTAAAAAAAAAAAAAAAAATCATACTTACAGGGCTGGTTGAGATTGGAAGATTCCCTGAGACTACTGTCATGTGACATTCTTGAAACCCTGGCCCCAAAGTGCCCCTGAGGTCACCTTTCAGGTACATAACAAATGAGCTCAGAAAATAAAGAATCTCAGGTGAGCGTGAGGACTGCAGTCTTTTTCAAAAAATCATTGCTATGAGACCAAGACAAGCATGTAAGGGGACAGGGAAACTGGATTAGTGAAAACAAAACAACCAGAACACATATACTGAGACTTTTCAAGTATTATGAAGAATATGACCAGTGTCTGAACAATTGTGCAGAAACTGTTAAGTGGGAAACTACTTACACTGCTGTGTAAACAAACCTTCACCAAAAGCACAGAAAAATGTTTTTTGGTTTTTTTAAAACAGAAAGAACACAGACTGCCTGGGTTAATCTCGTTTCTTATTAACTATGACACTTTGGACAAATTAGAGTTAATCCTGTTTCTTATTAACTATGACACTTTCGACAAGTGACTTAATCTTTTTATGCCTCAGTTTCTTTGCATTATAGAGTCTATAAAATGAGGTTAATAATATCTCACAAGAGTTGTTCTGAGAACTAAACAAATTAATGTATATGAAGTCCATGGAACAGTGGAATCTCTCAAAAAAAAAAAAAACAGTGTAATCCTACTGTCCTAGCTGGAAACCCATTGCCATCGAGTTGATTCTGATTCACAGAGACTCTACAGGATGTCAGTCTTCACAGAAGGAGACTACCAAATCTTTCTCTGGTCGAGCAACTCATAGATTCAAACTACCAACCTTCTGGGGGGATTTGTAGCCAAGAGCTTAACCATTGTGCCACCTGGGTTCATTTAAAGTGTTAAAAACCAAAAACCAAGCAAGCCCCAAGCCATGGTATTTTCAGCCTCCTCATATGCATGCGAAAGCTAGATATTCGATAGGGAAGACCAGAGAAGAATCAATGCACTTGAATTATGGAGTTGGTGAGGAACACTGAAAGTACCATGGACTGCCAGAAGAACAAACAAATCTGTCTTGGGAGACGTACAGTCTGCTCCTTAGAAGCGAGGACAGCGAGATATGTCTGTCACATTTTGGACATACTGTCCAGGAGAGGTCAGTCCCTGGAGAAGGACATCATGCTTGGTGTAAAGTGGAGGGTCAGTGAAAAAGAGAAAGCCCCATATTGAGATAAGATTGACACAGTAGCTACTGTATCAACAATGAGCTCAAACAGAGCCACAACTGTGAGGATGGCGCAGGAGTGGACCAGGCAGTGTTCTGTTGCAAACAGGGTCACTGTAAGTCAGAACTGACCTGACAACACCAACAACTCCCGGGCACATGTCCTGGCCGGGTGCCCCATTTTTCCAGCACTGAGAAGGCGTCTTGGTGGGGCCACGGGCATCAGTGTATCCCTCACTCCCCCACGTGACTGTGAGGCCCCGGGAGCTTGCCTAAGGGAAGGAGCAGGACCTGAGAGACTTCTCTTTCCGCTGGCGAAGCTGGAGGATCTCCTCTTCCTCCTCTTGCCACAGCTTCTCATGCAGTAGTTGTATCTTCTCCTGCCGTGATTCCAGCAGCTGCTTCTGCTCTTGCTCGAGTTCTTGTGCCACTGCCTCGTCCATGGCCTTCAGAGCAGTCTCTGAGAGCTGCTTTGGGGGAGCTGCAGGCTCTGTGAACCGCCTTCCAAGGGTAGAAAACAGCATAGCACCGCAATCTTACTACCCACCCAGCTTTCAGCACACCAAGTATTTATACAGATACAGGACAATAAGTGCAGAATCCTAACGGGGAGCATTTAGCAAGTGAGGTCACCCAAGGGCAGGCAGGAACTCCTCTCATTGGTGTCTCAAGACAAGCCCCACCGTAGTGCCCAAGAGTCCAGGGAGGAGACCAGCCCATCTAAGGCTCTCAGGAGGCCTGTTAGGTTGTAGCTAGAAACTGTGTGTGGCTCAAGGTCTGACAGCAGCAGAGAAAAGTGAAGTTCTGCCCCTTCCTAGTGCAGCCCCTGCCCCAAAGGGCTCCTGGCTCCACTGCTGCTTACAGCTCGTGCTAGCAATTTGGTAACAGTCCCCTAATGCTGTTCTCTGCCTCCTAAATTGAACAGAGGTACTGAATATGAGCCAGCGAGAGCAGCAGTAGTTTGTCTCTTGACACCAAGACCTAAACTAGCCCATGAATCCTGCACTTTCCTGCCATGGTCCACGAATAGGACACTCTTCTCCCACACTGCCAACGGTGCCAAGGAGGACACCCTTCCCAAGCCAGGGACAGGAGCAAGGGGGTCTGCAGGGAGGCCATGATTCCAGATCTTGGGGAGGGCACATTATCATCCTCTCATCCTAGTGTGGTGCTGTGGGTTAATGCTCTGGACTGCAAGGTTGCTTTGAACCACAAGGTTGGCAGCTCAAGCTTACCAGCCGCTCCTCAGAAACCCTATGCAGGGTTGCTATGAATTGGTACAGACTCAATGGCACTTAACAGCAACAACACAGTACAGTCAATGTTTGAAAATGAGCAAGAGAGATCTAGAACAAGCCTGGATTGACTATGGTCAGGGTAAGACAAGGAGTAATTGTTTCAGTTAAAAAGATAGCTATAAAGTGTAACGAAGTTGGTATTCTGGTTCTTGAAGGAAATTCCCAAAGAGAAACCCTGAGAACATTCTGAGCAATGAAAGTGGAAGCAGGATAAAGTATTTAGCCTCCCAGAACAGCTTTGTACTACCAGGTGTCTACATGGTGTTGAGGAGCTCTGGTAGCGTAGTGGTTACTAATCAGGCTGCAAATCTTAAGGTCAGCAGTTCAAAAGTACCAGCTGTTCTGCAGGAGAAAGATGAGGCTTTCTGCTCCCGTACAGATTTACAGCTTCGGAAATCTTATACAGGGCCGCTATGAGTCAGAACCAACTACACGGCATATAACCACCAACCATTATCACATGGTGTTAAGAAATGGGTCTTGGCACCCAATCATCACACTTCTCATGCTGGTTCTCAGGTAGCTGCAGGCCTGGCCAGGTAGCTCAGGTGACCTCAGCAGGAAGGTTTGAGCATGGCCCGAATCAGAGGGCGGAGTCACACCGGAGGGGCCCATCATCCCTGCTGGGGACTCAGAAGCCCTTCTCCCTCCGGCTGCAGCCCCACAGCAGATGGAAGGCAGTGGACAGGATCAGAGCAGAACAGAAGGAAACAACGACTCTGAGGCCAGAGAGAAGGCAGACATAGACTGTGGCTGACCTCTCTGAAGTAGACCATTAAGACCTTCCCCCCTTCCCTCTACGTAAAACCATGGCTCAGACCAGAAACCGTCTAAAGCTTTGCATTCTTTTCTGCTCCCATCTCCTCCCTCCTTTCAAACCTCGGCTTCCTCTCAGGCCCCGGACACAACCCAACAGATGTAAGAGATGCAGCTGCCATCTCCTCTGAGAATCCTGCCCTCGGAAAGAGCCTCCCCCGCACCCCACTCACTGCCACAGCTCTCCGCCTCATCAACCCTCCAACTCATTTCCAACCTTGGCTGAAAACATCTTTCTTTCCCTGAGCTGGTACCTTTTAATGTCTTTCTTCCCTGTGGGCTGCAGAGCTACGTGGAGCCCCAGGGACAGATGCTGCAGAAAGACGGGCAATGTGCACCCAAGCTCCACACACCAGTGCGTGTGCTTGCACACCTGGCACGCAGACAGGTGGGGCAGTTTTTGGTGGACCTCTTCTCCCAACCCTGGTTTTAAAGATCTAGTATCTCCAGCTCCCAGCTTAGGTCCAAGGCAGTAAACAGTGTCCCTGAAGATCTATGAGACAACTGGGAAGTCGATGATGCCAGAGGAAGAGACAGCTCTCATTTCTAGGCCAACTCCTCAGGTATCAGCATCAACGAGACCCAGTTTCTAAGTTAATGGCAAATAGGAGGCTCTACAAGACGATAATCATCTCAGGCTGGTCACAAAGCAGCTGCAAGGCATACGAAGGCAGGCAGGGAGGGAAATGGTACCTCAGGAAGATGGTGAAATAGGTGTACTGCCACAGAAAAGAATATGTTAAAACCTGGATTGGAATCAAAGAGTGCAAATCTCCTCTCATACTCAAGCCGGTGGTTTCGATTCATTTACTGTCTATAAATATAAACGCAAGGAAGATGCTAGGATGGTGAAGGGAGGAGATTCCTGTTTCTCAGCCCTGGGCATTCTGGCTACAAAGCCTGTGGCAGTGGTGGCTGGCTGCTCCTAGCCTTGCCTACTCTCTGGCCTGCTCGATTTTGAACCCATTTGGCTATGGCTGGGCTATATCTTTGGAAGTTGCCAGACACAGAGCTACTCCCCACAGAATCCAGAAAAAAAAAAAACCAATCAATTCCTCATGTAGCTGTGAAGATGAACAACAAGCTAGTCCTGGGGTCTGGAAGAGTTCAGAAAAGGAGAAGGTATTTCCTAAATGCAGTGTGTACATTTAAACTTCATGGCCAACAAGTGTCTCTGAGACTCCAGCAAGGGTAGCCTCACTGGGATGACAGAACAACCAAAGTAAGGGGATTCACTAGTCAAGGCAGCCAGGGAGGAGCCTGACCCAGTCCCACCCCACTAGAGACCCCTTGGATCTCATGCCAGATCGTCCTCTCACTGACTCACACTTGCCTCCTGTCCTTAAAGAAAGCACACTGCTATGGCTGGTCAAGGAGCCCTTGGTATGGTGCTGTGAGATAATGCACTGGACCACAAGGTCAGTTTGGTAGAGGGGGAACATGATTGACCAAGTTTCTGCCAGTGAGCCAGGAGGTCTCTCTGGCCCCCACCCTCACCCCCAGGTGCTGACAAGGAGCCCTGAGGAACAATGTGAACCCACGTGAGACTCAGTGTCAGCTGCTTAAGGCTCTCCAGGCTGCGTCCAGAGCACCAAGAGCACACTCAGTGTGTCCCCACACCCCTCCCAACGGTAGACGGGCACTTAACCCACCCATACACACAGAGGACAGGGACAGACACATTACAATGGGCCCTTACACCTCTGCAGAGACTGCTGGGATGGAGCTGACTGCCACCTGCTCCTCAGGTTCCTCAGCCTCTTCCTGCCCAGCACCCAGCTCCTCGGCCTGGGAGCGCAGCTCCACACCCCTCTCGTGGGCAGCAGGTGGGTTTAGGCCATGCTCCCTTGATGGTAAGAAGGAAGCAACTATGTTAAAGCTCTTAGGAAGGCAAGCAGACCTAGGGTCACCCCATTCAAGGTCAAACGAGCTGTGCTGCGGACAAGAGGGACAGCCCCAACCAAGTTTCCCCAGCTCGGGCTGCAGGCCTCACTCTCCCCTCCCCACCTCTTCCCCGGCTCTTCACACTGACCATCAGAGACTCACAACCCAAGTGGGAAGCAGAGGGTGACGGCCCCCAGAGACGCTCTACACACAGCACACAGTCAATGGAGGCTTCGAACTGAACACCTACCCCAGTGATTCATTCCAGCTGGATGGATTCTAAGCCCACCCAGTGGAACAGAAGAACTAGCAAACGTATACCAAGCTCTGCACCTCTCAGCTAGCCTGAGGTAAGGGTTTCCGCACCTTTGTACCCTGGTGATTAGTGCACAACAGGGTTTCATTTGGGTTTCGTGGCACCATGGGGGTAAGGTGCTGGCAGGGCGGGCAATGGGAAAAAGAGTTCCCTTGGTAGGAAGAGACCAGCCAGGGCCACAGCTAAGTGTCTGCCCAGGCCTTGGCAGAAAGATACTTTGACATCAAAGCGTCTCTAAGCTCCCCTAACTAGACTGAGCATCCAAATTCTGTTCCAGACTGAGGACTACGGAAAAGCAGGTCTCCTCACTTCCAGCTCAAAGGGATGCTAACTGGAATCTGTTAATACTGCCTAGGCTGCGAGCTCACCCCTACTCTCTCACCTCCCTCTCCAAGCCCATCGCACCCCATGCTTCGCCTCATCCCAGCATCAGCAGGCACACCAACTACACACAGGGAGGCCTCTGCTCCTTCTTACCTCTGGAGGGAAACAGGCACGGTGGAGCTGGCTGCCGACCCCTGCCCAGGCTCCCCTGCCTCCTCCTGCTCAGACTGCCCTGCTGGAACCTGTGGGGTCCTTCCTCCAATGGCCTGGCTGGGAAGGGGACTCGGGAGCCACTCCCCACGCAGAAGAGAAGGAGATAGCCTAGTGAGAGCAGCAGGAAGAGATGCGAGGAGGGCAGGATGTCACCAACCCCGCAGGCTAGACCCCACCTTGTCCACAGCACAGAGGGCAGGTAAGTACTCAGGAAGAAGAGGCACCCTCCTGAATGCTCTTTCAGCCTGGGAGGGAGTCAGGCTGCACTGCCTCCCCCCCAGGAGTGACAGCTGCACCCACTCCTAGTTATCCCATCACTGGGGTCAGGGGAGGGACAGCAGAACTGAGGGGAAAATGGGGAGAAGCCAGTCTCCAATGGTCAGATTATAGAAAAAACATGAAGCGATGGTTTTATGGAAGTAAGAATGCTGATAGCTTTTCAAGATGCAAAAAGTGGAATGATCTCACCTCCCTTCCACTTCCAGGGTGGTGGCCCTTCTCTGATAATGGCTCGGGCCTGTCACACATACACACACTAATAGCTACAACCATTTCCGATGTGGCAGGGCCCTGGCACCCCAGCAGGACGCTCCGGTCCTGAACCACAGCCAGACACACACACGCTTCATCCACCCAACCCAGTGACATATGCACTGTTGTTGTTGTTGTTATGTGTCGTGGAGTCGGTTCCAACTCATAGCAACTCTGTGCAGGGTTTCTGAGGCTGTAAATCTTTACGGGAGCAGAAAGCCTCATCTTTCTCACGCAGAACAGCTGGGAGTTTTGAACTGCTGACCTTGCAGTTTGCAGCCCAATTTGTAACCACTACACTACCAGAGCTCTTTGACATATGCAATAAGTCCCCCCAAATACACACACATTCCTGTGCTGGTGCGGAATCAGAAATACAGAATGCTTGTACACACACGTGCATACACACACAGATCCTGCATGTCATCCAGCCAGCCCATCGTCTGCCTCCAGGCAGCAGTACTGAAGCCATGCTCATACCCAAGTGTGCACCATCCCAAAGGTGCGCTCCGCCTCTCAGCTCATGGCAGCCTCCTGTGTACTGTACCTCTCAGAGCCTCTGGACCGCACACTCTGCGACTCATCTTGGCTGGACTGGCTGTCAACCTTCTCTCTTCCCAACTCCTGGGCCTGTAAGTAAGAAGCAGTGGAGAGTGTATATGGGAGGAAGCTGCATTTGGGTCTTAAGCCTCCTACTGACACACACACACATACACACACACTCTGCATAGTGGGTAAGGACTGCGTGGGACACGAAACAAAAGCCCTGTCCACTGAATAGTGAAGCCCCCGGGGCTGGAGAGTCAGACCAGCACAGCCATAGCCAGCGAATGAAGGAGAAAATCCCACCTCCTGCTGTCAGAAGACTTCACTGTCGATTCCAAAAGGCAAGCAGAGACAACCGTGTACACCTCAAGTCCATGAAGCCCCAGAGTTCCCAGGGCCAGGGATATACCGGGATACTGAAATTAAGTGGGAAGCATTGCGGGCAGAAGACAAGTCCGTTAAGAGGAAGAACCTGGACAAAATGGGAGCATCCTAGCATTTGAAGGAAGACAAAGGATGCTTCAGCTCCATCCCCAGCTCCCCAAGCACCCAGATCCCCTAAGTATCTAATGAAGCACCTCCCCAGGCAGAAATTTTATTATTATTATTTCATTTAAAAGCTCGGGAGTCTTGGCAAATGTCGCAAGATGGTGGGGAAAAAGAATTATTCTTGAGCGTTTCAAATATTTTCTACAGGGTGGTGTCCCAGTGGACTCAGCCACAGGGGCCACGGCCTATACCCAACCCTAAATTCTTACACTTCCTTCTTGGGAAGACTGACTCCTGCACTGTCAAATGGGATAACAAACCACCGGCCTACAGGGTTGATTGCAAGGATTCAATTAGACCTTATATGCAAAACTCTACTCAAAGAAGACATGCCACCAATGAAGGCAATTCTTCCCACACTCCTCTCCCTCTCCCCCAGCCTAGGCCCTGCAGTCCTTATGTCACACAGACAACCCCGCCCCCACCACCCCGTCTGTTCTGGGACACCAGGGCTAGCAGGAGAGATGGGGCAGGAGACAGCTCACTCTGTCTTCCCCAGTGGGGTCTCCAGTCCTGTGCTCACAGTAACCCCCTCTCTACTGGCAGCCTGAGCTCAACAGCTGGGGCTAGCTCTGCCATCTGGATGGGTGATGGAGGGCAGGCAGGGCCTGAACTGTACCCTGGCTCCCCCAGATCCCATTATAAATAGGCATGTAGCACGCAAGTACCTCCCGGTGCCTGCAGCAGACGGACTCTGTGGGTGCTGCCTCTTCAGATCACATCCGCTCGGACAGAGGTTACACACAGTAGAAGGCCTGCTGTCCTCACACCACCCGCCCACCGCTGGACCATTCACAACATCCACACACACACACACACACACACACACAAATGACACGAGTTCACTGAACACTTTTCTCTCACTTTTTAAGGGGGGAGAACTCCATTTTACAAACTAAACTATAAGGACGGGTAGTAAAGTGGGGCGATTGTTAATAAAAACTGGGGGATTCAAGGGCAAAGCTCAGAAGGGGTGGGAAAGAAGGAAAAATGGAAACAGGAAGCATAGGGAGGAAGTGCGATAAATGTTACATTGTGGGGACTGCAATCAATGACATGAAACAAAATGTGCATGAATTGTTGGATAACTGATGATATGCTCTGTAAACCTTCACCTGATTCACAATAAAAAGTTTTAAAGAAAAAAAAAAAAAGTAGGAAATGATGCCTGAATCCAGGAAGAGCCGTACGCTGTGTATTAAGAAGAGAAAGGCAAGCAGAGAGCAAGGCTGGCTGCAGACAAAAGTCTTCTGTCCTTTCCCTCCCCATTTCTTCTGTATTTCTGTGAGGAACTGACCAATCGTGAGCCTCTAGCCACCACCACCACCATAGAAAAGGGGATACCACTGGGGAAGAAACCCAGACAGATGGTCCTTTTTGTCAAGTTTTACTGAATCCCTGAACCTTCCAGCCCACAATAGAGACCAAAGTAACCAGATGAGAAAATTTGTCACAAAGGAGGTACAGCAAGCACATTCAGAGCCTCTGGCTTTTAGACAGACTGTTTGAGACACCATTTCCCCATCCTTAACTGGGCTCTAGCGTTTTATTCGTATTTAAAGACCAGTCCCTGGGTAAAGAAACCATGGTACATTTATACAGCGGAATGCTACACAACCTTGAAAGAAAACAAGATAGAATACATCACCCAGCACTTTCTGCAGCATAATCCTAATTTTCGTGGGAATTAATAAACAAAACAGAAAACAGGTGTATGCCTTCATGAACAGAGAAAATTTTCTGGAAAGGTACACAAGAAATTTTAATGGACATTGTCACTAGCTCTCACCTCTAAGAGGGAGGCTGCAGAATATGAAGGACTCTGACCTTCTCTATTATTTGATATAATTATATCATCACTTCTCTAATTTATTATAAAACTTACTATTTATAATGTATTTGCAATCCTTATTAAGGAGCCCTTGTAGTGTAGTAGATTGTAGGCTAGGCTGCTAACCACAAGGTCATCGTCATCACTCCTGAGGGAGAACGATGAAGCTTTCTGCTCCCGTAAAGATTTATAGCCTCGGAAATCCTATACAGGGTCCCCATGAAGTCAGAACCAATAGTGGCACACAGCCACAAACACAATGATCATTAATGGTCTTGATTGATGAGTATCAAGAGTCAATATGTATGGGTCAGAATCGACTGGACAGCACTTAACAACAACATACATAAGCCAAAACTTATCAACTGGTATAATTTTTAGTAGGTGAAGTTGAATTCTATGTCAATTGCAGAGTTTTCTAAAGAAATAACAAAAACTAGCTTAGCTCAGATCTAAGCCTTTTTTCGGCCCCCACCTTGGAAGAGATTCAGAAGATACAACCAAATGGACGAGAGTCTGCTGAGTGAGCACTAAGCGTATGTTATTATTGGTGGAATGATCTGGAAAAGGGAGGCAAGAATGGTTACCCAACCTCAAGAATGTAACCAATGTCACTGAATTACACAGACAGAAATGAGTGAGATGGCATATGTTTTATTAACGTATATTTTCACCACAATAAATTTTTTTAAATAAGAGCTCATGGGAAGGACAAAGAGGGCAGCATCTATGGTTCTGTCTGTCCTATAAGAGACCAGGCCCACCCTTCCACACTCTGAAGACAGGAGAGAGGTAGAAGCTGACCTTCTCAGCAGGTTCTATTTGGTCAGCCAAGCTAAGCTCCTAGCCATGCCCACACCCTGAATGGCTGGCTATGATGAAGAGCTTAGGGTTTTCTCTGCCACTATTGGCTGCCTCAGGGGGTGCCTAATGAGAACCACATCCAAGCCAGCCCTGCTACTGCTTTACGCCAAGTGACATGACCCAAAAAAAGGCTGGCTGGCCTCATTACATCTTCAATAGGGCCTAGAAATCAGTCTTTTGTAAAGATCTTGTGTAATTCTGATATTGGCCAGGTCTGGAAGCCAGGGCAGTAGAAACCTAACCTACCCTGCCAATTTCATAACTTTTTCAGTTACCAAATGTCAAGGTCACAAGTCACCTGCTCCACACTCTCCCAGTTAATACCACCTGCCCTGGGTTATGCTTTGACATTCCTCTAGCAAATGAGAATGGCCAAGATCCAGTGGGAGCCTGGTAGGTAGGCAGTGGCCCATAGCTCAGAGGGGCAGGTGATGCTCAAATAAAGGCAACTGGCCGAAACATTCAGCCATCTCCAGTGCTCATGTCACAAAGAACATCCAGTCTTACTTCCTATTAAACATCTTATTTGTTGCACCCAACAAATTCCCATTTCACCTAAACCAAACATTCACTTAAACTTGTAGAGACGTGCCAGAATCTCTTCTCTTAAACCCAAAGAGAAGAGAAAAAAATTATCTTCTTTGCTTTAAACTTCTTATCAATAGAATTTCTGTTTGAATCATCTGTGTACCCTACTCTGGGTCAGACATCCATGCCCACACAGAGCTGACATCTGGAAGGTGAGACAGATAACCATAAAACAAAATAAAAAACACAACACTAAGAGGCACAAAGAGAGGGAACACTTTATCCTTCCTGGAGAAGGTAACATCAGTGGTGGGCCTCCAAGACTGAGAAAGGGCAGGGCAGGGACAAAAGGGCACAAGAAAGCACAGCTCAGAGGGGTGAGAAAGTAGATGGTGTGCTCCAGGAATACTGGGGGATTGTGTGTGACTAGCACGCAGCAGGTGGACTCAGGATGAGACTGGAAGGTTGAGTAGGCCATGTTGTGTAGAACCTCACAAGTGACACAGTACATGAACAGGTCAGGTGGTCAGCCCTTGGCTGCTGAGTGAATGGATAAACAGATAAATAAATGTGGAAACATGCTTTCATTCACAGCATAACTGAACAGGAATGATCATAATCCCCTACCCCCACCCCAGGGACACAGAGGCAGGGCCATACCTAATGAGGAAGACGGGAGGGAATGCCCAGGAATGCACCCAGGAGTAGGTGGGGCTCAGCTCTGAGTTACTCCAAAAGGTGGCTGCCAAAGAGAGTGAGGCCCCAGCCTACTCACCCACCCAGAGAGACTTACCTCCCAATCGGTTTCCTTCAGGACCGGGGAAAGAACACCAACATCCAACAGGTGCTCCGTGATCCGGCTGCGAAAACCAAAGTCCTAGAGACAGTGGAAATGGAAGGTCCACCAGAGCTTCTCCTCCACCCCAACTCGAGCCTCCCAGAAAGGCACCTACTATGTGCCAGACACCATGCTAGACATTTTGACATCCTGGTGGTGTTAGCTGTTAACTGAAAGACTGATGGTTCGAACCCACCAGCCACTTCGCAGGAGAAAGATGCGGCAGTGGACTACCATAAAGATGACAGCCTTGGAAACCTCTATGGGGACAATTCTACCCTGCTCTATAGGGTCACTATGAGTAGGAATGAACTCAACAGCAACAGGCTTGGTTTGGGTTTGATAAACTTAATCTTCCAAATGATCCTGCGAACTGATGGACAGAGATGAGATGTGAAAAAGCAGATATGGTGAAATGTGAACTGTAGACTCTAGGTGGTGAGCACATGGGTGTCCACCGTAACGTCCTTTGAACCTTTCTGTATGTTTAGTATTTTTCATAATCAAATGACGAGGACAAAAACAACACTGAATGACTGAGATGCTTGTAGGTCCGTCTCATAGATGTGGAAGCAGGTTTGAGGACACAATTCATTTACCCAAGGTCACCCAGCAGATAAGCCAGGGGGAGCCCGGTCAGATGTACCCCTGGGCTGACTCCAAAGACCAAGCTCTTCCTGTGACACAAGCTGCAAAGCATTTCACTCCCCAGCTGTCTCTCCCCATCCAGCGTCCAACTAGAGCACCAGGAGGGAGGCCAAAGAGCACGGGAAACCTGTGGGCAGCCAGGAAATAAGGCTTTGGGGCTCCTCTCCAGCTCCTTTCTTCCCCTCCCCATGCACATGCCCCTCTGGCCAATGGGGATTAATTAGTGACTTTCCTCCACAGTCAGCAAGTGCCCACACTGGTGCCAGCTCCTTCCTGCCCTTTAGCTGCCACAGGACCATGAGCCCAACCCCTCCCAAGATCCCAGCTGGATCAAGTAAAGGATTGCTACCTGACAGCATGTTAATGGGGACAGTTCTGTCATCAGCCCTGATTAATGGCAGGCCGCCCAGCCAAGGTTTGGTCCTGCTGTCTAAGACTTCCTCCCTCCACTCCCAGAGAGAAGAAAAATGCTGATGGGCATGTTTCTCCACATGGGTGACTCCTTTCAAAGGGCCACACTCTTGGCCTCAAAATGTTCTCTGACAAGGCTATTCTTCATGGATGGTGTATGCCAACAACAATGACTTTTTGCCTTCCCTTCCTAGTGTGTGGGTTTTTCTTCTTTTCGGTGATGTTTTCCCTTCAGTTTGAGTTCTACTTCACTTAATGTAGCTGCCATCTGCCTCCTAAGCCCATGGCTCAGTGAGAGACTGAAGTACACAGCCTTCTAATTCCACTGTACCCCTCAAATCTTACTGTTCATCCCTGACCCTCTCCCATTAATCCCTTCTCTTTGATCTGCCTCCTCCAAACAGATGGAGAAGAGTTTCTAGAGATAATGCTTGGCCAAAAAAAGCACCCCAAACTATTCCCCTTAGATACAGGCCTGGCAAAAGAAACCAGGATACAGCAGGCTGGGTGGAAGGTCTGGGACAAAGAAACCATGAACGCTGGTCCTCATCATAGCTCAGTAATCTCTCTCTCTCTCTCTCTCTCTCTCTCTCT